TATCTTACTATCATTTTCCAAATTATAATATGAAAATGATGGTTATCTTGGATATCCTGGCATATTTTAACCAAGCCCATTTTATACCTACGGGTATAACCTGGTCTAGCCCGACTTATACAGCGTCTTCTAGACAGAGTAACGTAGAATATTACAGGCTAATCAGAATACATTAACAAAAAAATCTTGAAGAACTGTTTCTGGTTTTGTTACAGGTGATTTGTTTGTTTGCTTAGCGGTATATCAGCTCCTGATGGGTCATTTAATGCCGAAATTTAATTTTCATGGAAGTATTAGCAATTTTTTTTTTACAAAAATGTATTGCTGTTTTTTTTTAATGTATTGCTTGTATTTATTAAAAAAATTATTGTTGGTATTGTCACTATAAAAATGTATTTTTATGCTAACATACTGATTGACCAGGGTTTGGGAGTTAACTATTTGCCCATAGCAAGGGCCCTAACGGTTGCTACCACGCCGGGTTAGAATGGACCTGGGATCAACATTAATTAAGGCTTTGTTCCACGGTCCTCAAAACCACCCGATCAGATATCTTGCTACCGGATATAGTTCGTCGTCATACCTAGGACGTGTTACAGGGGAAAAGAAAAATGATATATAAGTGAGAGCAATTAAATGCTATGAAGTAATATTGATACAAGAATAGAAAACTAGATAGAGGAACCGAAAAAAAAGTATTTTTACTAATATAAACCATGTCCTCTATTAACCAGGGTTATATAGCATTTTTATTTAATAGTTATTTGTTATCTCTTGTCATTTCTCGGTTGAACGATATGGAAAATAAGACATCTGGGGTAATAACAGAGATGGTTATCCTTTTTCCTCCAATCAGGAGTGCTTTAATGAAGCAGTAACATGGAGCACCATTTTCGAGAACAATGCGAAGAGATCTGATTGGATGGAGGACGTCGTTGTTCTCTCAGATGATTGGTTGCAAATGAAAGAAAGCAAAAACTAAATAAATGAGAGCAAAAATAAATAAATAAATACCAAAATTTTCTCAAAAATATAAAAAGGAAAAAAAAAAACAAAGGGCAAAGTTCGTGTTGATGACTTGACATATTTAGAATTCTGCCTTAAAAGGTTAAAGGTCAATAATAATAAAAAGAAAACCGAAATTCAAGGAAAGGTTATTCACACCGGACATTTGTGCTGTAAATTTTAAACTTTATATTGTCAGACAGCTGGCATGAAGATACAAAGATATCTTACAAGTAGCTTGTTATATTCCGTTCTAATAAAAAATTCCACGTAAAGCCCTCAGAAACGGGTTCGGGTCTGTATACATCCCCGGACGAGACTCTGCCCTTCGGCATAACCTTGTCCGGGTTCCTCTCTGCTCGAAGGCGGAGAATTCCGCAACAGTTGTAAGCTGAGTAACAGATCCCAGCTAGGGTATTTACTAACATCCCCACGGGATCAGATGTGGCATAGGGCCGAGTTTAATGTGGAGTATCCGAGCCCGTATAAAACAGTGTCGGGTAGCCGTTTCCCGAAACTCTGCCCTTTGCCATAGCCTGGTCTGAGGATCCTCTCTGCTCGGAGGCAGAGTGTGACCAGCACAACTGGAAAAGATTCCAGATAGCTATCAACACTGTCATTGGCATATCTTATATTGTCAAGATTGTGGCCGCCAATGATGAATTCTGATAGGATTCATTCTAAATAGAAATTATTCATGTTATCCCTAACAGTAAATAATATGCCAAACTGTAGAAAGTTTTCTTAGCAGCAAAATGGATAGCGGCTCAGATTGAGAAATCGGAGAATTCCAGACGAATCCAATACATTCACTTACGTGCTGATTCCCTTGGGACACGTATGAATCCTTTTCATCTCCCCCCAGCTATGGGTAAATAGTATGACAGACCGGGTTTTATAGCCTTGGATGGCAACTGGTCTATCGCAGAAGGAAATGGCAACCTACTACAGGGGGAAAAAATCTGCCTCGTCAGTCATGTATCGAAAGATACATGATCGCCTAAGCGTGTATCACGCATCGCTCATAACTGACTGAATCATTATAAAACTCTTACATACGGTGCCTAGACTTTATGAAGTGTGATACTAGATTGGCGGAATGGGCTCATCATTTTACATGTGAAATGCCTAGATATTACCTTAGTTCTATGCTAGCAGTTTCCTTTCTAACGACGGTGGAGTAATGGATAACGGCTCGGACTGAGAAACCGAAGAGTCCGGTTCGAATCCCAGTCAGATTCATTGCGTTCACTTACGTGAATGCAATGGATTTGTACCCTTGGGAAAGGTATGAATCCTCTTTTTTTCCCTCCAGCTATGGGTAAATAACAGGACAGACTAAGTTCTATAGCCTTGGATGGCAACTGGTCTATCGCAGAAAGAAATGGCAACCTACTAAAGGGGAAAAAATCTGCCTCGTCATTTATATCTCAAAAGATACATGATCGCCTAAGTGTCTATCACGCATGGCATTAATTTTCTCATCTTTTAACATAACTTTTCATCTTTGTTGTTTTCATCACAAATGTTTTACTATAGGAATGCATTGCAAATAGCTTACAAGGGAAATGGATTGCAAATGAGTTATATGATCGCTTAAGCGTGTATCCCGCATAGCAAATAACTGACTGAGTTTCATTTGATTTTCTTTAGCGGTATATCAACCTCTATGGGTTATTTAATGTCGAAATCTAAATATTTTCTCCACAATGTTATTCCTTTAACTACAGATGTTTTGTACATCATTTTATACTTCCAGGAGAACTGAACACTTTATCTCGCTCACTGGGGTAGACTGTTCTAGTTCCACGTGCCATGTTTAATGGATGTCAGTTATCAGTTATCTCCTGTTAATTCTCCTCTGAAAGTTCTCCACTGCCTTAACCGGGTATTGAACTCACACTCTTTGGGTCCTGTCACTGGATTTAACTAACGCCTTTATCCACTGTGCCATGTGTCCTTGAGGACATCTGTGTATGAATTTCGACATTCCAACCACCTGAAGAAGGCCAGAGCATACAACGGTCGAAACGCTGTAATAAATATGGCGACAAAGATGAGGACAATAGTTCGAATAATGTAAATAGTGTACATAATACCTCTCAGAAATATAGACTCGAATCTTAGGTTGCTAAAAACAATAGTTATTTTCTGGAGAAATACTAATGATGTTACGTTAGAAAACGGCTTTTTAATCTGCCTTCAAAAAGGCGACAATATTTAAAAAAAAAAAACCAAAAAAAAAAAACAAACAAACAAACACGCTCACAACAGATCCTGGGAACATGTTTACCATCAAAGACTAAAAGAATGTGTTTCATTCTTGGATTTTGGCATTGCTAATAATGATTATAAAGAAATATAAAGTTAATATACCGTTTCTTACATTTGATCCTAGTTTGATTCTGTCTAAAAAATAAAAAAAAATAAAAAAAAGATTGCGGTTGGGGGGGGGGCATTACATTCTGAACAAACTAATATCTGCACAAAACATAAATATTCATATATGGAGATTTGTGTAAGTTTGATTTATAGAAGAATTTTCCTGGAAGGAATTTTGTTTATGATTTCTTGCCACGTTCTTACCTGCAGTGTTCAAGATGCAAGAAGATGTCTCTCCCTAATTATGCACATTTTTGCATATATTATAAAAAAAATATCTGTCAACAAGTTTTAGTATACTGGTAAGTGTTAATATGTAACGAGCATGTTTAACATAAATATGCAGCTGACAAGTAAATTTACGTAAAACTTTCTCGTATCTTTGGGGTGATAAGTTTCTGTACAGGGATGAATTCTTATCTACGTATAAAGCCCGTGCGAAGCCATATATGTATAGTTTCATGCATATATATATATATATATATATATATATATATATATATATATATATGTACGTGTGTAAGTATATAGAGAAATAGGAAAGAACCATTAGGTTAATAATCCAAAGTTCTTTAGTATTTTTGTTTTTATTTAAAAAAGAAGAAAAAAAAACAGTGCTCAATGCAACAGTAGAGCCTGTATTATGATTATTTTTTTTTTAAATATGATTCCATCGCTACATAAGAGTTCTCATTTTTCAAAAACAGCAGCTAAAAACATTTTTAAAAAAATTAAATCAGCTAGTTGTTTCATCCTCAAGAGAATTTTAGAATAACTAATTTTGAAATTTACGGAGCTTTATAAACATATACATTCGTAATATTGATTTCTATGGATATGGAGAAAATTAACCATTTTAATAAGGGTCGGTAGTATATTCATTTTCACTGACAACAATTGTATCAATATATATATATATATATATATTAATGTATATTTGGGCAGCAGCTTTTCTTTTAAACATATGTCATTAAATATAGCAGGCAAGGGAGATTTAATTAATATTTTTATTTTGTTTTCCAGCGTCTTTACGTTTTTCCGATTACTTCTTGAGCCATTTTCAATATATATATATATATATATATATATATATATATATATATATATATATATATATGGACTCTCCCGTCGAATTTGACGTATGAGGGTCATCAACCAAGGAAACGACAGTTAAACACCAGCACATATGGTTTGTTTATAGTGGTGAAGGCTTTGTGCAGAGACTTGGTGTAATACGTGCCACGAGGTCTCCAAATAACCTTCAGCAGAGTTTCAATTCAGGGTTGTCCCTATCATAGACCAGTTGCCATCCAAGGCTATAGAACCCTGTCTGTCCTGCTATTTACCCATAGCTGGAGGGAGAAGAAGAGGATTCATATCTTTCCCAGGTGTATTAGCACGTAAGTGAATGTAATGGACTCGACTGGAATTCAAACACGGTTCTCCGATTCCTCAATCCGAACCGCTCATATATATAACATTGAAGTCAACAATGTTTCATGTTCGACGCAATCGTCAGGCCACTTACGTTGTTTTTTTTTTCTCGGCTATTTATATATACGGGTCAGTGGTGCATTTTGGGTAGTCTATTTTGGCGGTTATTTTGCCGGAAA